CCTAAGTAGGCTGCTTGCAAAACGGGCTGCACATCAATGCCCCGAAGCTTCAATTGTTTGACTGCTGTCTTCGCCGTGCCGTGATGCGAGCACAAGATGACGCTCTTGCTGGTCAGCTGGAGTCCGTGCTCCCGAAACTCGGCGGCAGCCGTCGTAACACTGGTAACGAGCTCAATCACAACCTGCTTCTGTGAACCCACAGTGGACATGCTCAAGTCGTCTATCCAAATGCGCATGCGTTCGCTCATGCTCGGGTTGGCTATCGCCAGCTTCTGCAACACATAATATGTCATACATCGTGCGAATCGTGTGCCGCTGCGCAAACCTTGTACAACACTACGTGTAGGCTGAAAGCATTCCGAATAGGCGCCAAGCTGAGAGAGAACACGCGGGGCAAGACAAACTTGGAGTTCGAGAAACAAGAGGACAGGAGGGAAATTAAGGCGTAAGTCTGCATGGATGAGTTTCGGCCAGCTGATCTGATCATAGAAGCTCTTAATGTCAAGAATAGAGGTGTCCACAGTACCGCCTAGCTTGACCGCAAGCTCACTGTCCAAAACACGAATGAATGCTTCCCTGAGTGCACTGTTACCAGCCACCGCCGCATCCCAAGATGGTGACGTATCTGATGTCCACGCCTTCGCATGGACTTCACGAGCAAGACTCCACACCCGACAGAGCATGGCCACAAGCCCGATGTCTCGATCGCCCCCGCTTTTCTTAGTAATTAACCTACCGATGGCGATCAAGGATTGCCATGGCCAGGTAAGGGAGGCCTCGATAGCGGCCAAGAGGTTCACGAGATCTTCGATGGCACAATCGGGGAGTCGTTCAAAGTCTAGTGGGGATAAGCGATCGATACCCATCCCAGCACGAGCCTTCATACGTTTGAGAGCCCCTCGGACGTCGTCGACTGTCAGCGGAGGCATCTGATCAAAAAACTGCCGCATCGCGCACCTGACCTAGGAGAGCGTCGAGCTCCTTCAAATCTAGATCAACTTCTCGCCATAAGCTGTGCCAGCCTTTTACTTTGGCGTCGATGAGATCCTTGGGGTTGAAAAGCCGAGTGCCTGCCACGACGAGCTCCTCCGAGGCCTGGGGAACCTGCCTGAGCGACTTGTGGATGATACCTAACGACGACTCTTCCACGATCCACTCCTGGAATTGCCTCAACGACGCGTGGACGGCCCTCCCCCTTCGCTCTTCTGGAAGCCTTCTGGGCGAGGTCCCTGTACTGCTCCAAAATCGGTAAGTCCCAAGACTCCACCTGCCCCAAGAAGCTAACCCATTGAGACCAAATAGGTGCCCCATGAGTACTCGGGATGACCGTATGAGCCCCATCAGGAACATCATGAACCAGAACACGACAGATATGAGCTAGCTTTGGGACCTGCTCAACCCCATTGCGCCGTTGCCTATGACGAGCGAGACGTACAAGCACTGTGTGAAGCCTAGCCCACCATCCCGCGATGACGTCGGACAAGGGCTGTACCCTCATGTGCTCAGCGCGCTGCACCGCCTCGACAGTCAAAAAAGGTCCTTCTGCCCGCGAACGCCCTGCAGCAGCGGACTCGTGCTGCCCAAGAATGGTGGCTTCGGCAATACTCACCCATGTGGCAAACATTCCCCTGGCAGCTTGAATGTGAGGGCCCCCGGCAGAGTAAGCTAAAGACGCACGGGTGACTTCCCAAACGTCAGACTCATGACAAGCGATGTATCCGATCCTGTCTTTGTGCTTCGCCCAGAGGTCAGCCGAGATATGGAAAGAGGGAGATTGGGGAGGAGTGGGACTGCCTACAGTGCTGTCACCGTCCTTGGGGGGTGCGGGGATCTCGGCGTGGGGGGCTGTCTCTTTTGTCGCATCGGGCGCAGGAGCCCTAGGTGCCGACTGATTGCCAAAAACCGACTCGTGAGCCCATGGGTCAGGCTCGTCTTCAAAATCGTCGGGAGGCTCGAATTGAAACGGATCTTCTTGGGCCCGCGTTTCGTCCGAAGGACCGCCCAGGGCCCCTGAGGCCTCTGAGGCCTGGGAAGCCGACTGGTCCTGGGACGGATCTTGGGGCCGCTCGACGTTCAGCAAATCCCCGAAAAACTGAACGCAGGCATCCTGAAACTTGGCTTGAGACAGCTCACGAGCCTCTTGACGGGCCCGTTTGGCTTTCTGCGATTTACTATTGGCCTGGGGTAGAACGCTCGGCCGTGAAACCTGAGGGAGCTCGCGAGGTACGTGTAAAGCCCTAGTGAGAAGTTGCACCCCTTCGCTCCTCAGAGACAGACTGATCCCACAGTGCGTGCCCCAAGGAACGTCTAAAACCGCTTCCACTTGCTCTACATACGGACACGCTGCCCTGCTGGCCAAAACGAGACCAATGTGAGAACTACCTGAGCCTGCGACGCACGTGCTCTCGACTGCTGACTGAAAGACCACACCCTGCACTCGTTCAATGAAGCCGCTCTTGGCCAAAACAGCTGGTGAAACATTAAAGTCGCCAATTATAATCCAGGGGAGCTGGAGGGCCCTCACAGAGGCTCCTAGACGCACAAGCCTCTGTGCTCCCTCACCAGCTATGCCCCCACATATGCCATAGTATACTATGATGACGACGGTATACCCTCTGAGATGATCGGTAACAGGGAGGAATCCGTCAAAAGCTTCGATGTCAACATCACAGAGAGAACTGAAATCGCTTGGCTCTCCTACTTTGTGCACAGCAAGATGTCCTCTAGAAAAGAATGCTTCCCCTCCTTCATTCGAACGCGCGCTGAAACCATCCTGCTTAGGTCTGGCTGCGTTAAAAAGTGACTTGAGTTTGAACTTGCGACTCTGCTTGGCCCAGTGGGCCTCTCGACTGGCGGAAACATGGCTCTCGGCGATGGCTAAATAATCATACTTTGCTTGGATGGCCTCCGAGGTGAGGAACTGCCGAGCGCGTGGACCTAGACAGGTCACATTCCCGAAAAGCAAATGCGAAAGCTGAGAGGCCTCGTCACACGGGCGCTCGTGATCGCTGACCACGGCGCTTCCCGTGTGGGGCTCAGTAGACGCGAATGCCGAACTCCCTGATGACGCCTGACCCTGCGTGGCACGCGGCTGGCCGTCAGGCTCGGCCAGCCTGCCGCTGCCTCACGCAGTGGTGGGGCCCTGGCTGCCCGAAATCTCCATGTACGCCTGCTTGGCCTTGAACTTGGCATCCGAGAGCTTGGCCGCTGCTGCTGCCAGGTCTGGTTTCTCCTGAGCCTCTTTCCCGCATGCCGCCGCCGCCCCCGCCGATGTTGCCACCCCGCCTGAGGTGCCACTCCCGCCGCCGCCACCTGCAGCCGCCTCGCCGCCGCCTGCCGCCTCGGAGCCTCCACCTGGGGTAGCTCCTTGCGTAGCACGACGCTTCTTGGCCAGCCGCTCGGTGATGGCCTTCTGCATCTCCTCGCACTTGGTACGCCACTCGTTGACCTTCGAGCCGCGCTCCTGCAACTTCTCACGTGCGTCTTTCAGATCTCGCTCCAATGCTAGCAGTTGTTCTCGCTCCTGCGGCTCGCACTCGTAGTCGTCCAGCTTGGCGAAGAACTCTTCGTCCCACTGCACCGTCCATTGATTGCTACTACCTCCAGCGACCTTGCCGTCGGAGCCTGGCTGGCCATCGAAGACTGCGCCCGTCTCGACCGCGAGTGCCTTGGCCGCCAGGCGCCTGCCGATCTCTGCCGTCGCCAACTCCAGCGCGAGCTCCTGCTCCTTGGCCTCCGCCCTGGACAGCTGCTCGCGGAGGCGCATCACGTTGCTGATCGCTTGGTCGTGTCTCATGTTCACATCCTTCCAAATGCCCTCGGCCTTCTTGACAGAGTCCGTCGCAGACATGGCAGGCGATGAGGCTGCCGCAGCGGCCGTCTTGTCGACCTCCTCGAGCTGCTCTAACAAACTCTTCTTGGTGGCCTGATCCTTAGTGTTGCCTATCATGCGCAACAGCATGGTGCGGACCTCGGCTGCAACGCCTGCAGACACTGTGTCCGTCGCGCCAGCCTGTCCCTTGCCACCTGCACCTTTGCCGCCTGCACCACTCCCGCCAACAGCCAGTTGAAGAGTGTTGGTGCTGCCGCCATCCTTCTTCTTCTTCGGCGTATATATTTTGACAAAACGATGGCATCGGCTGCATTGACCACCTCGGCTCTCTAAGATGTCGTTCCATTCCGACGTCGCACAGCCTTTGCACGTCGTCCAGAGCCTGGCGCCTGCGCCGCCACCCGCCATCATCTGAAGAGGTGATCACCCCGCTTCGCTGCACGAATATACTAACGAAGGGATGTTAGGGGATCGTGCACCCCTCAAGCGCCAACGTGGAGGCGCGGGGATCTGTCTCAGGTCCGCTACAAAATGAAGCGCCTGAGCCAGAATGGCTTGAGAGGGGGAGGAGGAGAAGGAGGAGGAGGAGGAGGAGGAGGAGGAGGAGGAGGAGGACGAGGAGGACGAGGAGGACGAGGAGGAGGAGGAGGAGGAGGAGGAGGAGGGGGGGGTGTAGGGATGAGGAGGAGGAGGAGGAAGGAGGAGGAGGAGAGGATGAGGAGGAGGAGCATGAGAGCATAAGAAAGGGGCAGGGTGGGGATGTGGTAGAAGGTGGGGGGGGGGGGGAGGAGGGAGGAGGGAGAAGGGAGGACGGAGTAGGAATGAGGGATGGAGGGACGAGGGAGGAGGGAGTAGGGAGGAGGGAGGAGGGAGGGTGGAGGAGGAGGAGGAGGGGAGGAGGAGGAGGAGGAGGAGGAGGAGGAGGAGGAGGAGGAGGAGGAGGAGGAGGAGGAGGAGGCGGAGGCGGAGGCGGAGGAGGAGGGGGAGGAGGGGGGAGGAGGAGGAGGCGGAGGAGGAGGAGGAGGAGGAGGAGGAGGAGAAGAACGAGTCGCATAAGCCCTTCGGAGAAACCCTCCACTGGGACACCAGGGGCCGAGATCCAGGAAGGGCGCCGCGACCGAACGAGCATCGATCCGCAGGATGTCTGGCTGCTCCCGTGCGGGTTTAATTACGCCTGCTCGCAGGGGCCCAGCTCGGGCTCCTCCGGCGTGAAGGGCAGCAGGGGCACCATGCTCGTGCCGCGCAGCCTCGGCGTGATAAAAGAACGCGCACACTCAAACCGAATACGTTGGGGGTATTGGACAGGGAAGCGTTCGATAGGGAATCCAAGGTCTGGAAACCCGTGCAGCTCCAATCGCGGACCGGCCATGGATATCACCACCGCCCTCATCAGATAAGGAATCCTCCAGGGCCTGCAGTCTCTTGGACTCACTCCTTAACGAACGCCCCCACTGGAAGGAGGACTGTGAAAGGGCGGCGATGAAGGCGCGATCGTCTTGGGTGCGAGTTGTCGGACCCCGTGGGGGGGCTCCCTTTCAGGCGGGGGCTCCCATCTCGGGTGGTGCTTAAGTCGTTAAAGGCTTAACGACTTCTGCCGTCCTTCGACTCGCGCTGGAGCGGCCGCGAGCTGCTCCAACTTTCCCTGGAGATCTCTGGACTTACCTGGATTTGCTCGATTTACCCGGTTTTACCTGGATTTACCTGCATCTGCCCTGGCTCGATCCCCACGAGTCGACTGGCCAAAAGTCGACAAGCCCTTGGGGATAACAAGGTGCCCCTGA